CCCCCTTTTTCCGAGAGTCAAATAGGTCTATAAAATTCAGGTCTGGCTATGAATACGTGGTAGATCGTCCTCTGTCAACGAGGAGGCAGCCTTACAGTTTGAAGCTTTCTGACATCTTAACCCACCAGTTCACTGTTACAGAGAACCCTGTTGCTGATCGCAGCCAATATTCAGATGTATGGCAGGAGAAGCTATCAGTGCTTCAAGAAAAATTATGTCACCTAAAGCCTGTAGGAATGCTAAGACACAAGCTAATGTGAAAATGAACGGAGCTATACTAGTATGGTACAAAATACAACACAAACTGTATGACAGGAAAACTCCACAGGGGAGAATACACAGCAGGAATCTACCGGTCATCAGTAGAAGATCCTCCGTCGGCGATTGTTTCGGCCCCTTACCATCCTAAACAATCTCGGAAGGTGGGCCAACCTGGGTCATGACGCCAGGCACCAGTATCTTCTGCTGCGCCTAATCGGACACGAATGGACGTAACGAATTTATTCAACAGGAACTGGTGAAATTTGGAGGGAAAAGAAAAGACGAGCACATTAACAACAGAACGTTTCGAACAAAGTCTTTATCAGCAATATATAGAATACAAACCAGACAGTGAATAGATAGGTCAACGGACAAGACAACAGAGCAGGTAAACAGACAAGATTAACATGAAACTAGAAATATGTGTATATGAGATGTACATGAGGGAACTGTATTGAAGGGTCGCAGCATTAGGAAGGTTGCGAGCGACTGGCGTAGGGAAAGGACCCTGTCCACGCCTTTAGGCATACTGAGAATATACGGGTGGACTATCTTCACTACGGGGTGATGTGGTAAAAATCACGCCAGCCGCCTTTTCTTCACATGACTTTTCCTGGTACCCATTTCAGCTCTGTTAAGACCTGAAATCACTACCTTTGCACCTGAGCGAGCGTCCAACCGCTGAACACGGCGGCTATCTTGGATTAAATATTCAAAGCTAAATATCTGGATGCAACCACTGAACATGACAATGATGATGATTTCTGTGGAAATTGTACACATACAAGCAGAAATCATCCCCTCTTCAGGTAGCCTATTGATGTTTGATTGATTGGCACCTTTCCGCCTTTCCAGACGATAGTGTTATGTTGCACTATGAGGGGGCATGAGACTCACAGCCCATGGCGATGGCGAGTGTGACTAGCAAGACCCACCCGTGTCAAGAAAAGTCTTCCACAATGATAGGAAGGGATTTCAGGACAATTTTTGTTAACATTTCTGTTTAATCCGTTTCTTTTCAGACACTCAGCTCTCATCCTTTCTGCAATCTTTTCTTTCTTCACTCTCATTCCCTTCCTGATATGCCCTTTCCACACAACACGGTCCATGGCAATTTTGTTAGTCCACATCAATACCTGTATCTTCATGTCTCGCTCGCATACATCTTTATACCGTAGTAGAGGTAGGCCTCGACATCTTCTACCTCCCTTAATTCACCATAAAGGATGTCCCTAGGGACTCTGTTTTCCTCCATTCTCTGTGTGTGACCCATGTGTGGGTAGTCTGTCACCCTCCATTCTCTGTGTGTGACCCATGTGTGGGTAGTCTGCCATCCTGCATTCTCCGTGTGTGACCCATGTGTGGGTAGTATGTCATCCTCCATTCTCCGTGTGTGACCCATGTGTGGGTAGTCTGTCATCCTCCATTCTCTGTGCGTGACCCATGTGTGGGTAGTCTGTCACCCTCCATTCTCCGTGTGTGACCCATGTGTGGGTAGTCTGTCATCCTCCATTCTCTGTGTGTGACCCATGTGTGGGTAGTCTGTCACCCTCCATTCTCCGTGTGTGACCCATGTGTGGGTAGTCTGTCATCCTCCATTCTCCGTGTATGACCCATGTGTGGGTAGTCTGTCATCCTCCATTCTCTGTGTGTGACCCATGTGTGGGTAGTCTGTCATCCTCCATTCTCTGTGTGTGACCCATGTGTGGGTAGTCTGTCATCCTCCATTCTCCGTGTGTGACCCACGTGTGGGTAGTCTGTCATCCTCCATTCTCCGTGTGTGACCCGTGTGTGGGAAGTCTGTCATCCTCCATTCTCTGTGTGTGACCCATGTGTGGGTAGTCTGTCATCCTCCATTCTCCGTGTGTGACCCATGTATGGGTAGTCTATTATATGCTACAATTATAATTAACATAGAAACAAACAAACCTAATCTGTACCGCGGCAATAGCGGAACGACATCAGCCGTGTTTAATTGCGGAGACCTGAACGTCATGCACCAAGTCAGTTAACTACAAAGCTTCAGGGTCAAGAGATCACAGCTTTAATCGTGAATGTTTACATCAATGGTTTGTCATGGAGCGAGTTTACTGAGTAACTGTCCTCCTTAACCCGACAAACACAGAACAAATACATGAATATCTTTGCCATTCATAAAAAAAAAATTAAAAAGTAAAGGACCCTTTTCCACGCCTTTGGGCGTATAGGGCATATAGGGCTAGACCTATATTTTTATAGACCAATCGGCACAAGATGGGTGATGTGGTCAGCATCACGCCGGCTGCCTTTACTTTCCCGGGACTGCACCCGGTACCCACTCAATGCTGGGTCGACCTGGGAGCCAAGGTCATTTTTGAAATAAGTCTGGCTCCCCCAGGGAGCGAACCCACGACCTTCCGATCCGTTTGCCATACATAGGTAGACCTCAAATAGCACCACTGGTGCAGGAACCTGGGTGTTTAAGCCAATTGTTCCCTCACCCTCCTCACCTCATGTTTAGGGAGACTGAAGTCACTCATCATCATCATCATCAGCATCATCATCGTCATCAATAAACACTTTTTTTTTTTTTTACAAAAAGTTACAGTACGCCTAAAAGTCTCCCGTTCTCTAGGCAATTCTCCAGCCCTATCTGCTTTCATAGCTAATGTATCTTCAATTTCCTACATCCAAGTTTGGAGAGGTCTGCCTCTGCCTCGTTTTCCAGAATACGTCAGCTTTCGGGACAGGATACTGTTTACAAGCCAGTTCTCCTTGATGTACAGGTCGACGTTTTTTTTTTTTCTTCTTGGCCCACAGTTTTCAACCCCCCCCCCCCCCCCCCCCCCCCACCCACCCTAAGAAAAAAAAACTATTGAAACGAGGCTATTCACTTTTATTTAGAAACGTGTCGAAATTCTCTTTACAAATATTTGCTTATGCATTTCATATTGTATACACTTACTAAGAATAAATTTACCATTTCGAAATTTATTATTATTATCTCTTGAACTAGGATGAGGTCTTGTGGGACCCCGTCTTCTCTAACCTAAAAAAAGTACTATGATGGCAGAAAGAGGTCGGGGACGAGGGTGGAGGGGGGGGGGGGGAACCCGCTTTTGTTTTCTATGAGTCGGCGTGCCTGAACTGCATTCTTTCATAAAAACTCATTAGCGTAACAGTGTTGACATCTGCTCTGTGTTTGTCCTCAAATCGAGCCGGTCTGGGCTAGAGACGTTTGTGTTGTTCTTCTCACACTGGGCAATCACTGGGTAGGTTATTTCTCAGGGGATGTCTGCAGCTGCTACTCATCTGTGACACAGTTTACTGCAGTGTTCTTCAACACATGGGCAGCGGTCCTCTGGTAGTTCGCGAAAAAAAAGTCCAGCTGTTCCGCTAAAATGTTTTGTGTAATCAGGAAACAGTGTAGCGTATGTAGTTTTTCTCCTCTAGGATTTTAGTCTCTAAGATTAAAATCTCAATCATGAGAATCAAACAGGTAAAAAATACTGGAAAACCGATCAAAAGAGTCACATTAGGGACTCAACGGTCACGTAACCGACAGTATACTCTAGGGTGGATTTAACACAAATCAAAAATGCTATCGATATTTGTTTATATTAATGTGCTTGACTAGACGTCAGGTGGACTGCCAAACGATTTTCCCTGTTTTTGTGGGTTGGGAGTGTAAAAAGCTCGAGGAAAGCAGCTTGAGTCGGGGGGGGGGGGGGGGGGGGGGGGGGGGGGGGGGCGGAATTGTTTTTTGGTACTTCATAACGTCAGCCTTATGTTAATAATACGTGTGTATGTTACTATTTTTGCGGAGTCTGCATCTATTTCGAATTTCTAACTATGGATAGTGAAATACACCTTGTATAGTTTTAGCTGGTACAGGCTCGGAGCAATTGTGGGGTGATCGGGCTGCTGTGAAGTCTAAACTGCAGTTAGCCATTAACTAATTACCAGTTAAGTGTTACAGTTGTTCATTATTTAGCTTGTTAATCAGTCAATAATGCGACCTTGAATGTCACGTGTAAAGATTGCTGTCTAGGTTTTGTCTCCGAGAAGTTAACGAAATAGTTTCCTCATTTAACCCTCGACGGTTTTGCAAAGGTTTTTTGTTTCAGCCAGAAGTGCTAAACACGACCCGAAATGGTACTAGAAAACTCTATAAATGTAAATTGAAGAAACGCGCATAAATAAACCCAAACTTCGAACAAAGTTTTTATCAACGGTGTACTAAATACAATAAAAAACCGTGACTAGAAAACTCAACGGTATGAAAATGAATAGCTATAATTACAAAACGAAATCAGTAAGAAAAGCGTATGATTAGGATGGGGAGAAATATGAACAAAATAAATAATAAAATAAATGAAACAAATTTTAAAAAAGCTCTGTTGAAAATTAATTTGCAGCCTAAAATAGGTAGCAGAAAATCTGCACACTAATGGACACCGATTTATTTTTTGTGTTTGTGCTATATAACTCATCCAGGGGTTTTGATCTAAACAAATATATGTAGCACGCCATGGACTCAAAACTCCTTAAAACATGAAAAACTTCGATTGTTAATAATGGCAACATATCCGTATTACCATCTTCTATGAAATCACCAGTTACTCTAGAATTCACATATAAATGTACATCTGTTTCAGCACTGACCATTGCAAGAACCAGACCACTGGCTGCGGTATGGAGATGGTTTCAGCCCCAACGTTCACATGGATTAAGACCAGTGGTTTAGAGAATAAGCTGTGATGTCTTCGACAAGGTGTTGGTCAACGTATTACAATAACGCTTACACTGTTAAAAACAGTATAAATACGAGAATGAAGGAAGTTGACAAACTCCATGTATTCTTTGGCCTACACGAGCTAAATACTGTGAAATTTTACAAAGCAGTTGTCTGCGAATTCCTGGCCACCGCCCTATTAATTGTGTTCGTTTGTGGCGCTGCCGTTACTATGGACTCAGGAAGGTCCCTGAGTATCTACACTGGAGCCTTCAACGGGGCCATGGCTGTAGCCTACATTGTGTGGACATTCAACCACGTCAGCGGCGCCCATATCAACCCAGCTGTCACCCTAAGCTTTTTTGTTACGGGTCACGTGTCAGTTACAAAGGTCAGTGGTTCTGATTTTTTTCCGTTGCATTAAGTAATAATGGGAATTTGCTAATAATTTTTGAAAAATATAAACAACAGAACGTAGATCTGCCTGCCTGTTTATATTGATTATAGCAAGGTCTTCGAATGCGTCCAACATGAGAAATTGTGGATTACTATGAGAGGTATGGGATTTCTAGCACAATAGATAAATTAAAAGTTGATGTCATACACAACAAGCAGCCGTCAGAGTAGCTGGAGAAACATCACACTGGTTCAACGTGCAAACGGGAGTGAGACATTGGTGCATTGGCTCACCATAGATTCTTAATACATTTGCAGAAAACATAATGAGACATATCAAATATGACCAGAACTGTGACGGTTATGATCTCCTGACAATTGACGGTAACCATATTCCTGAACTTCGCTGAGTAGGTGGCAAAGTCCACCTTTTAAACAGTGTACAGTTGACGGTAACCATATTCCTGAACTTCGCTGAGTAGATGGCAAAGTCCACCTTTTGAACAGTGTAAAGGGAATAGAACATTTAATCATATCTGTTCAAAAGTTCAGGGAAGATTAAAATTTATTCTCGAATTTACTGGGTGGGGGGATGGGGGGGGGGGTGGTGTGGGGGGGGGGGGATTATGTCTTCAGACAAAACTCCCTCTCCTCTCCTCCACCACCCAAAAAATATATGATGAAGAAATTGAAAAATGGCACAAACTTTGAATATATATAAGCTCTTTAATAAACATAACTCGAGACAGTTCAACAGAAATTAGAAGAAGGATGCCCATAGCAATACCAAGGTCGGTCATCATGACAAATCTATGGTCAAGCGCCAGCTTGGACATACAATCACAATTGTGAGAACATGCATCTTCGCTGTAAGATAATATGGATGTCAGTCGTGGATTTTCTCCCGTTCATAAGGAAGAAAATAGCGGCTTTTGAGCTGAAATGCTTTAGAAAAATTATCAGAATCCATGGACAAAGATGAAAAGAAATTTTGACATGTAAAAGATCGAACATCAGGGAAGATTGGCTAATAAATAGCATCTTGTCTCGTAAGCTGAAATATTCTTGCTAAGTCGAAAGTTACTGCAGATGTCAAGAATAAAAGCTGAAAGTACCACGATGGAGGGACTGGGGTCGATCAGCACGGACATATGCACAGGTTATAACTGACTCCTTGGGTTGCGAAGTGTGCGAAGACGTAGAGGTGGCGAGAAACGGAGTTTCTTTCTCTCAGATAGTGATGAGAGCGACGTTCTGCAAAGGACCTGCTAAATAATGATTTAGTGATTAGTTAGTCATGTAGTCTCCTAATCCTTCATAAATTCCTTTGCATCATACAATAAAACAAAAACATCAAACAGTAAAGTATTACTAATAAGCGGAAATAACCGAGCCATACTGGTTTCATTTCTGGAAACAAAAGTGTGTAAGGTAAAATGGAAGGAGACATACACAAGAAATATATATATTGTTCAAAAAGTAGAAAGGCATAGTTATCTATTCATGGTAAATATTCCTCCTGGCTTCTTTCTGGCCACATGCACTATGAATGAGAAAATTTTCAAGAGAAAGATGAGTGATGTAGTCTCCTGTGCAAGATTTATCATTCTGTGTCGAAACATTCTGTCTAAGCTCCACAGAGGTCACCCTGTGTCTTCAGTAAGTGTAAGATTTATTCAGCCAGACGTCTGCTGGCAACATTGGTTGTTGAAGATGAGGACGGGGTGCTTATGGAAATATCCTCAACTTAACCCATGTCGATAACTGAGGTAAGAGAGAGAAGCATTTCCTGATATCGTAATCACCACCTTCAACATATGTTCACGTGTTTCAATACCGAAAATACGTAGATGTGTCTCTGCAACACGGCAACTGAAAATGCTGGGCATGTACTCCATCACTATAGCCTGTATGCTGCGAACAGAAACGCCTGTTGCAGTCACAATCAAAAGAACGCAGTTTGGCACACTGGGAGATGCGAACTGCACGCTAGCTTCCAACAAGGCTACTGTCCTCTCGATGTAAGGTTTTCTGACCGAGGGGTCGAAGAAGAAGAAGTCCCTATATCTTATGTAATGTACTCTGCTCTGCTCTGACAGACAGTGGCCTATATCATAGCCCAGTGTGGTGGGTCGGTGGCAGGCGCAGCTCTGACCTGGGTCCTGGTTCCTAGAGCCTGGCGGGGAAATCTGGCAAGCACGACTTTCTCTGATGAAATCAC